ACGGTGGTATCGATCGTAATATACCAAGCAATAATAATTCAAATCATTCACCATTGATGACAATTAATTTGATATTTCTTCTCATAATTTTCTTTTTTTTTTTTTTTTTTTTTTTGTATTTATTTGTTTTCTTATTTGACAATTGTGATCGATAAATCCGTATCAACGGAGAATGTTTACCGTCTATCTCGATACACCTCATAAATGAATATCGTAATTACGAAATATTAAATACGTAACGCAAGAACAGTTATGTTTGCGTAAAAATAAGATAAATTGCTCCATTGATCATGCGTAACGTAATTAAATTATTGATCATGCACATAACATTTCACAATTCGTTATTATATCTGAAGAGTTTTATGGTAAGAGAATTGTTATTTTTAATTTAAATTTCTTTCAATGCTTTCGACTATTTTTTTTTTTGGTATAAAATTTAAGATCTATAGCATTCGACAGAACGTTGTTTTCTCGATCGTTTAATAACAAATATTTGTGCGAGTTTTTTCTATATATAATTATTAATACCAATAACATAACAATAACAATGATAATAATAAATAAAAATAATAATAATAATAATAATAATAATAATAATAATAATAATAAATATAAGTAATTAAAAATATTTATATTAATTATTATACGATAGAAAAAAAAAGAATACATTTACAATTAGATAAGGTATTTTAAATTACGTTGCTTGAAATACGAAAAGATAAGAAAAAGTAGGTTAATCTTAGAGACAATTTAAAGGAACGTCTCCCAAATTCAGACGCTTTGAAGTTTAAGAACGAGAAATGATGTTTCTCAAAGAAAATATGGAAAAAACTAAAGCTAATATCATAGCTCGTTAATACGGTCTATTAACTTTACTCTGACATTATATAACATCTAAAAGTAGCGATCTTTATTGCTTCTTGACCTATTTATGCATCATGCGTTAACGTAACTAATGTTTTCCAGTTTACACTTTATAATATTTCTATTAAATTATAATACGTCGAAAAAAATAGGAAAATAATTTTCTTTAATTATCCTCGTATAAATAATTTTGAAAGAAAAAAGAACAAAATATATGTATATACGTATATACATTTCGAGAACATTTTTTTTTTTTTTCTTATACATCGACATGTTTTTCTTTCTAATCATTTACTAATGGTCCAGTGTATATTTCCTTTCTTTCTTTTTGTTGCTTTCCCATCCCCACTTTATTTTCATTTTATTGCGTAGGTTCTTTATTATAGAAAAACGTAATACGTGAACGTCATTGTGATTTTCTATTTTTTCTTTAATTTCATAACGAACAATGAAAAAGAAAATATTTTCTTGTTAAAAAATGTCTACGTGTGTGTGTATGTGTGTATAAATGTTATGTAAGAGAAAGATTTTTTTGTTCATTTAGAGATAATTATTCGAAAAATCTTTTATTTTTGTTTCTTTTTTTTTATTACGGGTATACCTGGTGTCAAAGATTGTGAATAAATAAATTAAAAAACTACCCCTCTGTATATATATATGATCAAATTCTCTTCGTAATTTCTTTTCTTATCTTCTTGTTCTTTTATTTTTGTTATTTTTAAATTCATCTTAGGAATTCTTAGGAATAATATATATGTACTCTCCTCCCGTGTGTGTATGAATTTTTGTATTACAGAGATTATCACTTAAATCTAGTTTCGTATATCAATAAGATAACTATACCTTGAATTTTAATATATATATTTGTTTTTTTTTTTTTCTTTTCTCTAACGTGCATGATTCATACCGAGAGAATAATGAATAGGTACAAATAGTTGTGCTTTCCGTATATCTAATAAAAATACAGATGTGCCACTTTGCTCTAATGTATACGTGTTTGTATATGCACATATGCATCTATGTATGTATTTATGTATGTATGTATGTATGTATGTATGTATGTATAATGAGAGCATAAGTATTCTATAAGTGTATATTTTTAATACGTTTTCTTTTTAGTACGATCCTAATCGTAAGGCTAAATTTCGATGAGTGTGCTGTTCATAGATGCACCTCAATATTATTATTATTATTATTATTATTATTATTATTATTATTATTATTATTACTAGTATTAATATTATTAATATAAATATTTTACATAAAACTCGAGTTTTCGATCTAACGACTACTTTACATTATCACTAAAAATAACAGTATTCTCGTCTATATTCAATTAGACAATAATGCTGTATGATAACACGAATGGTTTAGAAATGTCGAAATATTGAAAAACGTATCCTACGAATTTCTCTCACTATCGAACATAATTCACATATGCATCTATATATGTATGTATGTATGTATGTATGTTCTTTAATACAGAGTGTCTACGATGAAATTGTTGTCCGATTATTTTGTGTTATTTATGAGAAACAAAATAAAATTGAACAAAAAAAAAATCAATCATGACGTTTCATAGTAGACATCCTATATAATTATCACGTATTTGCCTATATACTTTAATGAAGTGAAAAATATAAAAATTATAAAAAAAAAAAAATAATTAGATAATAATTATGGCACTTTCGGATGCTAATTTATTCGCATTCGTGTTCCATCGTCCATCGTTAAAAATCTTCCTGTTTTTTTTTTTATTATATTATTAATATATATTATATTATTATTATATAATTATTATATAATTAATATATTAATTACTAAACGAAATATCAACATATTTCTGTGTTTGCTTATGTTTTTTTTTTTTTTATGTATGCATTTATTCATATAGTATAATTACTACTTTTCATTTTGCATTAAACGCTATGCCTAAGATGTCGAACGAGGAAGATCTTGATGCGGATAATTTCCTTCTTTCTATTTTTTTTTTTTTTTTATTCGTTATTTGTTCCTTTTTTTTGTTTAACGAACTCAAACAACGAACTCTGCGATGACTGTCAAAGTACATAGTTGATTTTTTATGTGTCGATAAAAAGGCAGTTTTTAATTCATTTCGGTGTCATTTCTTCGTAAAAGAGAGAGAGAGAGAGATAAAAATATAGAAAGAGATGAAACAAAGAAATAACTATTAATAAATAATTCTCTCTCATATATACGAATCCTGAGCAAACTTAACTACCTATACTTCGCATGTGTTTGTTATGCTCCATAATTTAAGTTCGTCAATTTATTGGCATAACACTTATATATATATATATATTATTATTATTATTATTAGTATTATATTCAGAAGAGTGTACATATATGCACATATATATGAGACATACATATAATATGTATATATACATACAAATTACATATACTCTCTCATTCGTTCATCTTATACAATTTTATCTAAATTCTAAATTCTTATTGTTAGATATTATTTTAATTTATCATCATTATATTATTTCTCTATTTTCTAATTATATGTTAATATTAAAACTCGTCTCGGTTTGCCCAAAACAACGTTATTCGTAGTTCACTTGAAATATATTTAGAACGTCATTTGCAGGTACCAAAAAGTGCAAGTCTCTTAGTTAGTTCGTATTGTTATCACCGTGTATTAGTTAATGCCATTTATACGAATTAAAAATGTTAAATAAATCAAATGTTTGAAATAAAGTAAGAAATATAATGAGATAGATTAGAGAAAGAGTGAGATTTACGTTTAGCGTAATTAATTATTCCTTACGTGTACATGTATGTATGTAATATGTATGTATTTATTACTCCGAATATCACAATTCGAGATAGTTGTTTTGAGCGGACCGTACTATTTTCTCTTCTATCATATATGAAACTACAGAACCACATTTACTATCAGGCGCATTAGGCGCGCATTATTGTGGGATATCCATTTTTAAAAGACCCCATACATTTTTCAATTTTATTACGTACAAAATACGATATTGAAAAAAATAAAAAACAAAAATAGGCTGATACATATATTCGTTAAAAATCAAAATTAAAGAATAACAAATTTCATTTATCACTTTTTTTTTCTCCCTTTCTCTTTTTTAATTCAAA